CTTGTTTATAAGCAAGGTAACTAGAATTTTAAATGCTCTTTGAAAAGGGAAGTTCAGGAGACAGATAGTAAAAATAGTAATTTAAAAGAATAAAAGAAATAAAAAATGGAGCTATTCAAATAATTAAAAGTTTCTCTGAATATAAAATTGCAGAAGACAGAAGAAAATACCTTATCTACAGGAAAATATCCCATAGTATATAGACTATGCTTAATTTTCCATAATTTTCATTTGCACCCTGTTTTAAATCCTTTTGCATTGATATAGTTGAGGGAGCCACATTTTAAATTAGTGTTAACATAAAATAAAAAAGTAAGAATGAGAAAGGAGAGTTTTACTATTCCAAAGGCAGAAAAACCTATGGAGGTGTAAGTGCACAAGAAATCTCATAACTTTAAATGGTCACATTTGATTTTCAAAAGTTATTTATAAACAGGCTCTTCACAGAGGCAAAAAGTTTCACTGTCATTGAATAATTCTAAGTCTTAGAAATTAAAAACTTTGAGAAATAAAAGCAGCAAGTAAATATATGAAAAAACGTTCTTCATCACTGGTCATTCAAGAGATGCAAATGAAAACAACACTGAGATTCCACCTCACCCCACAAAGAATGGCTGCTATCAAGAAATCAAACAGTAGCAAATGTTGTTAGGGTTGTGGGGAGAAAGGAACCCTTCTCCATTGTTGGTGGGAGTGCAGACTGGTGCAACCACTATGGAAATCAGTATGGAGATGCCTCAAAAAGCTGGGAGTAGAGGTTCCATTTGACTCAGCTATTCCTCTGCTGGGTATCTTTCCAACAGAATTTAAAAAATCATATCACAATGATGTATGCACACCTATGTTCATAGCAGCATAGTTTGTTATAGCTAAAAGTTGGAAACAGCCCATTTGCCCATCAGTTGGAAAATGGATAAAGATGTGGTTTTCTATAAAATGGAATACTACTCAGCCATAGAGAATGAGAAACTAGAGTCATTCATAGGAAAATATTGAGGATATACTCCTAAGTGAAATAAATAAGTCACACATGTGTAAATACCAAATAGTTTTTCTGTTGTGCAAAACTATAATAGTGCATAAGATCCTAATGAGATAACTGACAATGTGAAATAGAAAGAAAATGGCTAAAGGTGTAGGGGAAGTGGGAAGGGTAGAGGAAAGGTAATGAGGGAAAAGAAAAAATATGAGAAAATGGAAACAAAGAGTTTGTAAATGGGGAGGGGAGAAGGGGGTGAAGGGAGGGCAGGGATGAGGGGAAAAATGCAAACCAAGACCTGTCACATAAAAGTACAAGATCCCAATATGAATGTAACTGTACTGTATACCTAAAATGTACCAATAAACTCAATGAAAAAAAAATAAATTAAAAACTTTGAAAAAACATGGTGGATGCAAAACCTCCACAAATATATGGTAAAATCACATTACAGTTTCTTGCTGTTGACTGAATAAATTAGTGGCATCAAGTGGATGTTCAGGAAAGTTTGACTTTGTGGGTTTGAGTGAGTAGATGGGGAGGTCATGGGGGAAAGTATGATTTTTGAAAAGTTAAAATCTTCATTTAATAAATGCAAAATATAGCCAGACTGTTTTAGAAACATTAAAACCTGACAACTGAGATATATCAAGCACAACGATGGAGTTGTATTTGTATAATATCAAATACACTGACAGGCACACTTTCTTTGTGGTTGTAGACAAGGAGAGCAGGGACAAGGGGAAAAAATGAGAACGAAGACCTGTCGTGTAAAGGTACAGGATCCCAATGATGAATGTAACTGTACTGTATGCCTAAAATGTACCGATAAACTCCATGAGGAAAAAAAAAAAAGAAGAAGACATTCAACAGTCAACAAAAACCCCATGGAACAAGTATTTTTTAAAAGTGTACTTAGGATTATAGTATAGACAAATGATATATTCTTGAAAAATTATGGGCAATCAATGTCTTATGCATCAAAACTCAGTTTTCACATTTTAATACATACTCTTTTATAATCTTGTTCATATTGATAAACCCCTTTAAAATATTTTTCTTGTTCAAAAGTAATTCAATGTCTCATTTATTTTTTCTTCCATGTTTAAACATTTTCTTAGCTTTTGAGTACCATGAAATGACAAGTTCAGTGCACAGGAAATAAAATTGAGTAATAAGAAATCTGGCTGGCAGGAATGGACAAAAGCAGAATCAATACTCATTCCTTTGAACAATTTCTTTTATAGTGGTGGAGGAGCCAGGGGTGGTGGTGCACTCCTGTAATCCCAGCACTTGGGAGGCTGAGGCAGGAGGATCCCAGCGAGTTCGAGGCCAACCTGAGCTACATAGTGAGTGCAAGGCAAACCTAAGTTACATAGCAAGACCCCATACAAAAATATATATAATAAAAAGAATGGTAGTAGAATGTGTAGGGAGAACTGTCTCCCAATAGCTTTTTCATTCCTATCTTCCTCACAATTATCTTATAAAATTCAGGAAAGTAATATTAATAGTTAAGATATGAGAAATATAGACTTTCCCATCCTTTTACTTATAAGAATAACATAAACATGATAATGAATATTAATAAAACAAATATTCATTAAGTAAGTATTGTGTAACTAATTAAAATTGAACATTCTTCTTCATTCTGTCCCCTGTCCCGTTTCTTCAGACTGTCTCCATCAGGCTATTACCATTTTGTAGATAATGTGTTTTACTCATTTGTTGCACTTGTTTGTCTTTCCCCACTAGAATGTAAGTCCAGGCATACCCTGAAGGAGACAGTGATGTAACCAAACCAGAAACTACCCTCTATTTGTTTCTTTTTATCTGTATTATTTCTCTGCAACATTTTAGTGGGATTTTGTTGTTGTTGCTTCCTATGTATCCAAGAAAAGGCAAGAAAAGATCTAATGCAAAGAATCTGAAACAGGAATAAATGTGGAACGCATAAATAACAGAAAGACAGTCAGCGCAGCTTAATTTTAGAGAAAGGTGGGGTGTTTGAAGAGGTAAGAAGGGGCCAGAACCCACTGGCTTCAATAATGCAGCAGACTAGAAAGCCTGCTACAGATTTGAAAGAATTCTGTCTTGTTTTGTTGAGCATAGACTTAGGTGAGAGTGCAGGAACAAATAGAATCCTGGAAACAAACTCAGGGGGCTTTACAGTAACAGAAAGCAGACGGTGCTGGTGACAACAGGGATAGAGAGGTAGACACACTGGAAATGTATACAAAGGTGGTAGAACCCATGTGATTTTCTAGTAAGTATCATCAGAACTAAGCTTCATGAAGGCAAGAATACTTTCTCTCTTGATCAGTGTGGATTCCTGGTGCCTACACATTTTTAAACACATAAATAGTCTAATAACTATTTATAAATTGAAAGAATAAGTGAATAAAGAGAGAGACCAAGCAAGAATTAGAGATAATTTTTGTTTTAGGATAGAAGGCTAAATATGATTTTCCAATTCATGAAACCAAAGATAAGCACAAAAAATGTTTTTTCTCTTTTCTAGCAGTCAACAGTGTAAACTTGTAAGTTTTCCTTTTAGTGAGTGTTAATATTCTAAGACTGTGTCTTTTCTTCTTGATGTTCAATATCCATTTACCAGCAATGAAATGGTGGTGATATTGTAATAGAATATTTAATTTTTGTCTTTTTTATAGCTTTAGTTAACAAAGATGGTGACCCACTTTTCACACACACACACACACACACACACACACACACACACACACAGAGGCACATACACTCCCATGCAAGACGATTTGCTGAGATCCAAATGCATGGGATCCATTAGTCTAAATACTCCCTTTTAAAAATTATCTAATGCCCACATTAAAATTAAAACTAGAAGAAAATGTCAGGAAATTTATTTCTATGTGTTTAGGGAGAACTGTGTGTGTGTGTGTGTGTGTGTGTGTGTATGCACATGTGTGTGTCCTGTCCTTCCCACACTAGGGTGGGAAGTAAGTGTTTGCCTTCCTAAACACTTAAAAAATAATACTTTTTGAATAAAGAAAGAAATATAACTATAGTATTCATATTGATGAAAGATCCTTTTCAAAGAAAATATACTTTACTTTTATCTTTATGTATTGTTATTGGATACAGAAGATTTTTAGCTTTTATCTATAATTTTTCCTAATTTTGGTTAAGTTTAATTACTTTCCATACAAAGCTCCTAACTATGAGACTGGTTTTTAAGTCTCTGCTATAGTCACGGGCATGACCTCAATAATCAGAGTATCTCTCTTGTGTATATTTCTAAGTAAAGCTGATGCAATTTTCCAGTCTAATTTATATAAAGGGAACTGATCTAGGCCAAATAATATTCTTCTGTGTTTATCTTGGGAGAAAATATAGAAACCATCTTAATATTCAAGAATATTTCTTACTCTATAGATTATGAAATGCCATTTATATTGTACTGGAAATTCAAAACACACTTTCTTTAGTTATTGGGTTACAAAATGAGGTCATATAATGTAAAATAGCTTTTTTTGTATACTTAAATACATGAATGCCTATTACATACCCTTAGATATTATTCCTTTAGAAGCAATTAAACACACAAGTTGCAGAACAGACATTTTGAAGCTTTATTGGAATGTGAAGTAATTATTACATAGAAAAAGGAAATAATATCATGCAGCTCACTGCATAGAAATCATAGTTTTCCTATTAAGGATAAATTTTGACTATCTCAATTTTCAATAGAAATGAGCACATCTATGGAAATAAACCATGTCAGTATTACTTGCCCCATTCAGATTTGTTTATTTTGGCTAAATAGATTCATTTTTGTCAAGGAAATTGAAATGTATTTATTAGTTTACACTTTTGATGTGAGCTTCAGTTGTCTGCTAGAGCTGCTATTATTTGTAAATAAAAACATTAAATCTTGGCAGTAATGGTAAGTTAAAATAGGAAATATTTAAGTGTAGTTGTATTGTGATAAATTCCTTAAAATATAACTCATATGGTTTTCCTAAAAAAAAAAAAAATGAAAGCAACACCCCCTGTCATTTTGCCAGTTGGACTTACATCTTTATTAGCCCTTCAAGTGGGATGAAGGAAATATCTTTTTAAAACTCAAGCAAATTGTTTGTCTTGTAAACTTTCAGGGAAATAAATTTTCAGAAACAGGAAAATTTTAAAACAATATAGTAGCATGTATTCTTTCTTGATCAAAACATTTTGCCTCTAAGATACAAAATAAAATATTCATAAAATATATTAGAAATTTTCAAGAATCTAAAGCACACAGTGCAAAAATACAGTCAGCAATTGCCCCTTTAATGACCTTAATTACTAAAATTCACATTTTATCATTCTTATTTTTAAATGAAGCCCCATCCCTGTCCTTAAGGCATAAACACTTTTATAGGCAACAGAATAGTGCCTAGAGGCTGCATCGCTAGAATTAGACTGCTAGTGTTTGAGTTCTTGCTCTGTTCTTTCTGAAAAATATGGTAGTGACTGCATGCTGAGAAACTTGCTTAATTCTTTTCACCAATGTTTTCTCAGCTGCAGAATGGATAGTCATACCTGCATCGAAGTGTTGTAAAGGCCTAAATTAGTTAATATTTATAGAGTTCTCGGGCTGAGGATTTAGCTCAATGGCACCACAACTGCCTCACAAGCACTGGGTCCTGAGTTTGATCCCCAGGACCAGAAAGAAAAAAAAATAGACTTCTTATCGGATGCCTCAAAAATATGTAACAGCCTTGTACCAAAAAAATTAATCAGAGAAAAACAGTAAGCAAGAATTTTTTCCATGTAGTTTTGAAATGATGTGAAGCTGCTAAAACATGACAATCCTATAACAAGAGGAATAAAAATAAAACAAAATACAGGATATGATTTAAATTATCTACAATCTCTTTTCCTACCAAAATCAGCAACAAAAACTTTTCTGAAATGCTTTCATTATCTTTAATTCAGGAGAAAAATGCAACCTATGTCATGATGATTTTCTATATTATGGTATTATGATTGCTCTGGGGTATAACTGAAATATATTTCAGTATTGGCATAAAATATTACTGACAGTTATCAAAAATTTAAGAAACTCTTTAGTAATTAGTTTCACACTGTTCTACAAAAGAGCAAAAATCTTCTAGAAATAACTTTTTGAGTAGCAGGACAGCCCGTGATAATTATGGGGCCTATCCATGAATATAACTGGAAATCCATGTAATACAGATTTTGATAAAGGCTATAAAGGAAGTTGACAAACTATTATATAAAATATATCTACCTGCCGTGACAAATACACTTTAAAATAACTCAATGGCCAGAACAAATAAAACAGGACCTGCAGATACCTTGGAGGTCCACAACTGACTTCCTAGGCATCACTCCTTAATTGCTGCCTTTCAATTCCCATGCATGCCAGTTGCTTTGGTATGAAATTGGAGGGCATAGCCCTTACATTTCTCTACTCAGTTCTCATCTCTCTAAAGGATTTACCCTTGGTAGTTTTGCAGTCCTAAAAGTCCAGTCAGTATCACACACCTGGAAAACAGTCATATGCTGACTTCAGGAACTGGTGCCTTGGCTTCTTTGCATTATGATTTCCAGGCCTAGACCTATAGATGGTCCCACAGGATGAAGAATTTTCCACTTTTATGGAGAGTTGCATGTGACCAAGGCAGGGCCATCCTCTGCATGAGGGTACTGATGAATAAGACTCCAAGATCATTTTCACAAGCCACACATGAAATCAGCCTCTTTTAAAGCTGCATGTGGCATCCAATAGGGGATTAAAGGATATAATAAATATTTCTCTACTAGAAATGCACTGTTTATACTAAGTGATCCACTGCTCATATTATTTAGAACAACATAGTTTATTTACAGCAACATGAGTCTGACTCATTTTCCTTAGATCTTTCTTATTCCCACAAGCTTCACCTAAAACAGTGACCTCACTGACTTAGACAAGCACAGTGTGGTCACACACTGAGTTAGTCAACCATTCACTAAATATTTGCTGAGTATCTATTATGTGTCAAGAACAGTACCAGCACTGAGTATATAGTGTTCTAAAAATAAGCATCATATCTATTTTCTCTAAATTTAAAATCTAGAGGAAAATTCATATAGACAAACCAAGGTAATGACATTGCTACATAGTAAGTGATACACACACACACACACACACACACACCCCACAGAAAGCTTTTCTGGGAGGAAATGATTTTTGATCTGAGAGCCAAGAAAAGATGTGGGAAAGGTATAGAAATAATAGAATGAAAGAAAACATGCAAGTTCAAGAAACTGATGATATACATATATAATTATGGTTGGTAAAATTTAAAAAGATAATTAACAAGTAATAATTATACTGGGCAGAAGTTAGGTCATGCAGGATCTTGAAAAATCTTACAAAGTTTGGACTTGATTCTAACAGTAAAAAGGAGGCACTGAAAGGCATTATTTCAGAAGAGCTATGATTGCATTATTGTTTTCTAAAGCATTCTCTCATATCTGCTTTAAGAATTTATTAAATCTGTGTCACAATATACGCAGAAGATAACGGTAGCCTATTTCAAGGTGATAGTAGGGTTTTAAGAGGAATCAAAAGCTAGAAGAATATAAAATGGAATATTTGCAGGGCTGGCTAATTGAGTATAGAAGGCAAGAGATACCGATGGAAGTTAAGTCCTGGATTTCTAGGTTTGCCTTCTAGGTAGTAGTAGCTTGTACTAAGAAGGATAAAAATGAAAACGGAAGTGAATTAACAAGTGTATTCCCAGAAATGTTGAGATTAAAATAGTGATGAGCTATCTTAATACCCATATCCATATTTTCACTGACTCATAGAAATGTCTTTGTCCCTCTCCCTCTCTCTCTCTCCTTGTCCCCCTTCATCTCCTTCAGCCTCCTAGAAATGTCTACAAGTCAGCGGAAATACTAGGGAAGACAGCCAATGTTTTGGAATAATATTGGGTAATATCAGCATGAAGCAAGTTAATGAAATCATGGTAAAGGATACAGAGCACCAAAGGGAGTATGTGGGATGAGCAAGAACACTAGGGGTAAGAACTCTGAGATTGGCAGAGAAAGAAAAGAAAGAGAAGAAAAGAACATGAAAGATGGTGAAGGAAATGCCAAATTGCAGAATTAGTCAATGAAGTCAAACTTGTTTTTAAAACAGAAAAAAGAAAACTTGCTTGTCTACAAAGCACAGAGTAAATTTGTATTTATTCAGGCATGTACTCATCTGCAGTTTTTCCCACAGACTATATACACTTATAATCATATGCACTCATACTCCACATACACACCCACACGTTTTCACAGACACCATGCCTGACTCCATAAACTGACAAACATGAAAATATCACAAATAGGAATTCTCTTTCATTAAATTCAACTCTTGGTCTCTACTAGCATACTAATGTATAGAAGTGTATTGATTTAAAATAGGGAAGCTTTGCTTTATAATTTTAAAAAGGAACATGATGTAGCTTTCCTTCTGTTAAATGGGTACAGTAATACACAGAAAAGTTTTGAGATTTAATTAATGCTTATAAAGTGATTTGGGAGCCCAAGATGAAAGGTGCTATGTAATGTTATTACTGTTATTGGCACTGACAGTGGTGACCTACCTTAATATTTGAGTATGCAATAGTCTAAACCACAGTGTAATCCAGGATGATAAAATACAAGGTATTATTAGATGACTTAGAAGTAGTAAGATAATGACTAAACTTTCCTTCTAACTTTTTTTTTTCATTATCTTTCTGATACCTACTACTCAGTTTTAGCCCCTATTTGTCATACAAGTTTCTCATTTTCTGCTTTGTCTTAAAATTGTGGAACAATTTGGCTCAAAGGGTCTTTGGGAATCTTCTAATGCAATCTTGAATTCAGCAGATGTAAAAACTGAATCCCAAGCTTACATTCTTTACACCCAGAATTACTGAAATAGAATTTAATATCAAGTTTCAAGATTTTGATTTTTTTCACTACAGACTATTTCACAAACAAGAAAATTAGTCTGGAAGTACAATACCTCACCAGATAAGAGATTTAAGAAAACATTATTAGCAATAACAAGATAAACATATTAACAATAGCTTTGAGAATGATAAAATGGAACTTATTTTCATTAATATAAGAGATACTTTAAATTTAATATTTATAACAGAATACTCATTACTGGAGAAAACCAATACACAAGGGAGACATAAGGGATGGACAAAAGTAATTAAAATTCATGAATTACAAATGAGTTATTTGGTATTATCTATTGTTTGTTTTTATGAAAGAGAAAAATTTTTTGCTATGGATATCAGATTTGATTTTTTTAACAAATGTATTTTGGATACAGCTTTTGTTCCAGGTACTCTATGAGGCTCTGGAGATAGAGGAGAGAAAAAAGATAGTTAAAATTTCTATTTTCATTTTTCTTATGGTGAGAAGTTAATAAAAAAGTTAAAATAATAAAAATAATTTCACATTTTAACCAATACTATAAAGGAAACCAATAGCATTGGTTAGCAGAACTTTAGAATGAATGGTCTGGAAGAAGCAGAAGTAGACCAGAAACCTGAAAGATTACAAAGAAGGAACCAAGTGAAGAACACAAAGAAGAGAGTTCTAAGTGAGAGAATGGCATGACAACAGTAAGGTTGGCTCAACCTTACTGAAGGTGAGGTTGGCAGAGGTCATGGGGTGTTGTGTTGTGTTGTGGAAATAAGGTTTGGGAATTTGTACCTTAGTATTCTAGGGGACATAGGAAAGTTTTATTTAGGGTAGTAAGTGGTTAAATATGTTTTCTAAAAGTGTTCTGGTTATTGTTTTGAAACTGCATTGAGGAAGGAACTGAAAGCTGTTCAGAGTCATTATGGCAGTCCAGGTGAGAGCTAAAGGACATGGGAAAGAGAAGTGACAGTGAAACAGCAAAATTAGCGATTCATGATATATTATTGGCAACGCAGATGTGACAGATGAGAAGAGAGAAACAAGGGTGTCTTTAGGGTTGGGGGTGCACAATGAGGTGCACAGTAATGATATTTTGAAGTAGGATGGGGAAAAGGAGAAGCAAATTTTTACATGGAAATGAATTCCTTTTGACATGTACCCAGGTGGGCACATCAAAGAGACAGTTGGTTAAACAAACCT